GAATAAAACAGAATAAAATAGAATAGAAAATAGACTAGAATAAAATAAACTAGAAAATAGAATAGAATAGACTAGAAAATAGAATAGAATAGACTAGAAAATAGAATAGACTAGAAAATAGAATAGAATAAAATAGAATAGAAAATAGAATAAAATAGAATAGAAAATAGACTAGAATAAAATAGACTAGAAAATAGAATAGAATAGACTAGAAAATAAAAGAATAAAATAGAATAGAAAATAGAATAAAACAGAATAGCAAATAGAATAGAATAAAATAGAATAGCAAATAGAATAGAATTCATAGGGAATAGAATAAATAGCAAAGAATAGAATAGAAAATAGAAAAGGAAAGAATAGAATGAATAGAATAGCAAATAGAATAGAATGGAATAGAAAATAGAAAAGAAAAGATTAGAATGAATAGAATAGCAAATAGAATACAATAGAAAATAGAATGGAATAAAATAGAATAGCAAATAGAATAGAATTCATAGGGAATAGAATAAATAGCAAAGAATAGAATAGAAAACAGAAAATAGACTGGAATTCATAGAGAATAGAATAGGAAACAGAAAAGAATAGAATGGTAAATGGAACAGGATAGAATGGAATTCGTAGAGAATAGAATAAATAGAAAACAGAACAGATAATAAAACAGAACAGAATAAAATAAAAAAAAGAAAATAGAAGAGAAAATAGGATAGAAGAGTATAAAATAGAATAGAATTAATGGAATGAAATAGACTAGAACGTAATAAAGGAATAGAGTAAGGAATGGAATGGAACAGAATAACAAGAATCGGAAGGGACCTTGGAGGTCTTCTAGTCCAACCCCCTGCCTAGGCAGGAAACCTTACACCGTTTCAGACAAATGGCTCTCCAGCATCTTCTGAAAGACTTCCAGTGTTGGGGCATTCACAACTTCTGGAGGCAACTTCTGTCCCCCCGATTAATTGTTCAAATTGAGAAGGGCCCATCCTTACCTATCCTGCCCTCCTCCTCTTCCTCCCACCCCCCTTTCTACCCCGAATGCCCCCAGGTGCCATCCTTCCCACCCCTTTATGAGATTCCGGATCTTTCCTTTAAGCAGCCTTCCAATTATTATTTTTTTTAAACCGTCTCTGCTCGGAGCCAAGCCAGTACAGGTAGTCCTCAACTTACGACCACAATTCAATCCCAATATTTCTGTTTTTTAAGTGAGACATTTGTTAAGTGAATTCTTTCTCGCCACGAGAAATATTAACGGCCCTTGCCCCGTTTTGCGACCTTCCTGGCCGCAGTTGTCAAGGGAATCGATGCAGCTGTGGAAATTAGTCACGCGGTCGTTAAGCGAATCTGGCTTCCCCGCCGACTTTGGCTTTGTCGGACAAAGGGGATCGCGTGACAGCCGCCGTAAATACGAGGGTCTGAATTTTGATCCACGTCACCGCGGGGAAGCCTCAACGGTCGCAGGCCTGGAAAACGGTCGTTAAGTCACGTTTTCCTGCGGCGTCGCAACTTGGGGACGAACTGTTGGTAATCAAGGAGTAGCTGCAATGGAACCTCGGCTGATTTAACAACATGGCTGGACTTCAACTCCCAGAATTCCCCAGCCAGCCGGTTGGCGGTTTTCCTCGCTTTGCTGAAGTCAAAAGATATATTACATCTTACCGCATTCCCACCGTCTCTTAAAGTTATACAACACTATCCCCCCCCCCCAAAATGTGCTGGGAATGCTGGGAATTGGAGTCCACCGATTCCGAAAGGCCCCGTCCCGGCCACCGTGTCCCCCGCCTTGGACCATCCCGAGTGGCCTCACCCTTCCCTGGGGGCAGCCCAGAGCATGCCACCCCCTGGTCCACGCTGTTGATGAAGTAGTGGAGGTCTCCTTTCACCGTCCGCATCATGCCGATGCGCGAGCCGGTGGTCAGCGAGTCCAGGTCGCAGCCGTAATTGTTACGCACGGTGTTCCCGTCCTGCATAATTGCCGTGCCGCTGAGAGAGAGGGAGGGAGGGAGGGAAAGGGGATAAAAAAGACATGTTCCTGGGGAAAAGGAGGTTGGGGGATTTGAGGGCATGGCTGCCATCTTGACTTTTTTGCCCTCCTGGGACTGCGGAAGAGGACAGAACCAAAGGCATTCAATTCCTCCGTGGCCTCGTAAGGTGGGAAACACTTGACTTCAACAGCTGAGATTCAAAAGTTGGAAGGGCAAAGGCTGGCTTTTGACCGTAGGGCAGGACTAGAACTCCCTGTCTCCTGGCGATTGGCCCAAAAACACCCAGCCGCTTTTAATGCCTAAGGCAGGACTAGAACTCACCATCTCCTGGTGATAAAAGTCGCCTGGCTTTCATGCCTAAGGTGGGAGTCGAACTCACTGTCTCCTAGTGATTGCTTCAAAGTCCCCCAGCCTCTTTTAATGCCTAAAGTGGGACTAGAACTCCCTGTCCCCAGGTGCCTTTCATGGCTAAATCAAGACTAGAACTCCCCGTCTCCTGGTGACTGGCCGAAAGTCACCCAGCCGGCTTTCATGCTTAAGGAGGGACTAGAACTCCCCGTCTCCTGGTGACTGGCCCAACGCTCCCTTTCATGGCTAAATCAAGACTAGAACTCCCCGTCTCCTGGTGACTGGCCGAAAGTCACCCAGCCGGCTTTCATGCTTAAGGAGGGACTAGAACTCCCCGTCTCCTGGTGACTGGCCCAACGCTCCCTTTCATGGCTAAATCAAGACTAGAACTCCCCGTCTCCTGGTGATTCACCCAGCCTCTGTTAATGCCTAAGGTGGGACTAGAACTCACTGTCCCCAGGTGCCTTTCATGGCTAAATCAAGACTAGAACTCCCCGTCTCCTGGTGATTCACCCAAAGTCATCCAGATGGCTTTCATGCTTAAGGCGGGACTAGAACTCACTGTCTCCTAGTGATTGCTTCAGTCACCCAGACGACTTTCATGCCTAAGGTGGGACTAGAACTCCCTGTCTCCTGGTGACTGGCCCAAAGTCACCCAGCTGACTTGCATGCTTAAGGAAGGCAGAACTAGAACTCCCTGTCTCCTGGTGATTCACCCAGTCACCCAGCCGCGTTTAATGCCTAAGGTGGGACTAGAACTCCCTGTCTCCTGGTGACTGGCCCAAAGTCACCCAGCTGAC